CCCCAAAACCCCAAAACCCCAAAACCCCATAAACCATAAAATTTTAAATGTTAAATTTGGATACTTAAAATGAAAATTAAATTTATCTTAAAAAACAATGAGCAAGAAATAATACTGTTCTTCTACAAAGTTTTTGATAGAATATCAGAGTGTCATATCAACAAGTTTCAACTACTTCACCACTTAGTTTTAAGAATTGGTAGAGTTATTTTTGTTGACAAAAAAATCTTTCCTCTAGTCAAAACTATTGCTATCCTAAAACGATGCCTATCCGAACTCTTGCTCCTAATAAAATTTATTATTTTTCTATCCGTGAGCATTTATAGAAGATTAATCTATACTGAACTATTATTACTCTTGCTAATGAATCATTTAATCCTACTGATTTAATATATCCTCCTAGTCATATTCGTACTCTTGATCATCTTCATAATCTATTTCTTGAGGTTTTAAGTTCTCCAAATTTTTATTGAACCCTTAAGGTTTACCAAGAACTCTAGCTGCTGCATGAGCCAAAATTTATGAAACATTTTATGTTTAATTCATGCTACTTAAATTATTGGAACCCATCATTTTGCCCGAGAAGCCAACCATTGAATTGTTAAGAAATGAATTAGAGTTTATTATTTAGGTTTAATCATAGGGCTACTACAGCTAACTGTTTTATGATTGTACTTGTTCTATCGCAAGTAAAACTAAGTCTCTACTTTTCTCATTTTCTACCAAGCGCTTTATGATGTTTTCATATTTGATCTTTACGTTAATTGTTTAATTCAGCATATTTTTCAGATTGCTAATTTACTCTTCTTAAACCTTTGCTAAATTCTGCTATTAGATCTTATTTTCAATAAACTTTTCTATTTCATTTTCTTATTTTAGAATATAATCACCATCCTTCTTTCTTTACTTTTCGGATTACTTGCTCCTTTCTTCTAAAATGTTGTTATGATTAATAAGCTCTCCGTTTTCTCTTTTTAATTTATTTATTTCATTTCTATGCTCTGCATTTTTCAATCTCAATTGATGTAGCTATAACTTAATGTCTTCATTTTCCTGGACAATAGCATGTTAAAAAGTCGAGTCAAGATTATTATTATCCTCTTCAACAATTACATTGCCATTACTTAAGTGACTCTAATTAGCAGCAGCCCTTTTATTTTAGATTGCAGAATTTTTGACAGCTGATTTAGATTTCATGCTATAACTTGTGACTGAGCTATAGCTCTGAGGACTTTTAGTGACATAGTTACTATTTGATGATTTCTTGTCTCTAGAATTACTCCTCATATTGTTTTAGTATTAATTTCTGAACCCTGTCGAATATAATGCTTACTATCCAGTTTTTTAAGTTTGCTACTGCTAATTTTACAAGTTTTAGAGATTGAGATAAAACTAGTTATTCACGACTGGCTATCCCTAAAGAGACTTTTATCTTTGATGTGAGTTATTTTATTAATTTTAATTGTTATTTATTGGTTGATTTTACTAGTAAATTTACTAGTTTCTTGCATTTGCATTATTGCTATTGTTTAATGAAAATGATGAATTTCCTGATTTGACTGATTGGTTTGATACATTGACTCCTTTTGAATTTTAAGGTTAAATACTAGCTTGAGGTCCTTTTGATGGTTTGTATCCTTTCGCTAAAGCTTTGCCTATCTTCATATTATCCTCTGTTTTTGGTAGTGATCTTTATTTTTGGATGATGTAATTATTATCAATTTTGCTTTAATCATCTTTCGGAATTATTTAATTTACTTCACTTTTGATGTTCGAAGTGTTTATTGGCTAGGAAATTGAATTATTATGAATATTAGAAGTGAAAAAATTCTACTAAGCAATCATTTTACTAGATTATGAGATATCAGAAGAGTAATCTGGTAATTGATTGTTTGAAGCAATCAATTAAGGACTAATTTCTAATTAAGACCTGCTCAGATCTTGAGATAATTCCGCCTAAATTGACCTTTGAATTTTTTCTTACTCTTGTATCTTTAATGCTGCTTCTCATTGCTATTACTCAAATTATTTCTTAGTATTTTCCTCGAGAACTTTTGTTAGCTTTTAAAGATCAATTTAAATCTGCTTTTTAAATTCGTCAATATCTTTCTGCGTAACAATATCCTTTGGTATTTGTTCCTGGATTTTTTAAAGCATTTATTTCTGTTCCTCTTTTGCAATGATTTCTTAATTTCTAATTTGGTTTCTTAAGTTTATCTTTTCTTCCTCATACATCTAGTTAGTCAAGTCAATAATAATGTTATTTTGTTTTGCTTTGATTTCATTCTGCATTTGTATATTATTCATACTCCCCATGTTACTTTGAACAATTTCTTAAGAGTTAACTCTTTACAAGAAATTCTCTTTTGATGATTTTCTATAATGATCTTAATTCATGTTTGTATGACCGCCAACTATAACATTATTGTTCTATTAAGGAAAAGAATCTCTTCTTCTTTCCTCGCCATTTATCTTTTAAGTTTCTCTAGTATTAGGATCAAATTTTCCTTTGGGACCATTACGATTCTTCTATTCATGAAATTCCTCCACATTATCATTTTGAGATTCATTATCGTCGTCTATATTGCTATCTATCGGACTGTCAGCATTAACCTTGCTATTTTGCTCCTTGTCAACATATTTTTCCCCCCTTGATCCCACATCATCTAAGTATTGTAGAAACTAAAATTCTTATTTATTAGATATTCTTACATCATTTTTACGCGGAGGGTGCTATTGAAAAGCGTAAGAAGAGTTTACTTGATCAGTATGAAATTTTCTATTGTGAAAATTATTTTTGACTTCTTCAAAGAGATGATCGTTCATTTAATTTAATTAAATATTATTAAAATATTGATTATTAAAATGATAATTCAAGAAACAATTTCGTCAAAAATCAAAACTCACTCTAGTTCTCTTATTTTTGAATAATCTTAATGCTATCTAGTATTTCACTGAATCTCTAGACTTTAGCAGTCTTTTCGTTTTTAAAGAACCCTTTTATATTCAAGTAACCAGCACATGATCCAAATGCAAAGTCCACTACCTCGCTATTTGTATTTTCAAAGTAATTGTCCTCAATAATCAGTTCAAATTGCTCTTCCTAAAATTCAATATATTCATATCAAAGACTTACTGGCTTAAGAAGCTACTAATAAGTTACTATTTCCCACATCTTATAAGATGTTTTCAACAGTGATTTCTCTAAATGAACAATTTATGGTATAAATTTATGCTTATTAGGATCGTTCTTATCTTCTACTAGTTGTTCTATTACTGGTTCTATCTTTGTAACAGAAGCTTAATTCCCTCCTTTCTTAAGATCTCCTGGAGCAGGTTTTTTAGCTGCTTAGCTATCTCTTCCACCCTTTGGTTATTCTACAGGCGGCTATTGCACAGGAGGCTCTTCTTTCTTCTCTTCTTCCTTTTTCTCTTCCTTTTTATCTAAATCATCATCGTCATCATCATCTTTGGTAATAATTTGTGTGTGCTACTTAATGGAATCCAGATTAGACTTAAACATTTATTTCACTCCAATCCTCACTCTTGGAACAGCATCCTTAAATCTCTTGATTATTTTCTGATATCCAATGACATCGCCTTCTGCCACAGGATCCTCTAAGTATTCCAATAACGGATGCTCATTACACATCTTAACAAAGTACTCTGTTAACTAGTCTTAATCGAATAAGTTCTTTGGTCCCTCTAAATCATATTTGTTTTAATCTCTTAAAAAGGAAGAGTCGATGTCTGGATTAATTCCAAACTTTAAATACTTCTTTTTATCATTCTATGGGTTATTGTCATTAATAGATATATTCTTACATTTACCTGCACTGCATTTATAGCATCTTCTATGAATTTAAAGCATTCATTGACATTTTCAAAAGCATTATAATAGGAGCCGTCAGCACCTGGTTTGAAACCATTTTCTCCTAATTTGTGAGTCTAAATTTATTTTCTCAATTGAGCTTGTATCTTTAAAAATACTTCAGTGACATCTACTTCATCTTAGGCATTAACATCTATGATAAGATAAAATCTGCTGAACTTGACCTTTGATCCTAAAGCTTTACCTCCATTGAGAACAGTAAAACAAAGTCTAGGAATTTTCTCAGCTGAAGTGAAGTCTCTATCAAACATAAACTTAAAGAAACTTTAATATGGATCTGCTGGTGAAGTAACAAAGGCATAAGCATAAAGCAGTGCTTCTGAACAAGCCTTAACGATATTATCTCCAACTTAGGAGCCCTCGCTGTTTTCATGTTGCTTCTTCTAAAAGGCAAGTAACATCTCATCTAGTTTTTTCAAGCCAAGAATTTCCTTATTCTTAAACATTGGTGAAATTTCCTCATTAATAATCTTGCAAGCCTTTTTCATTCCAGATTTTTCATCTTGCTTGTCACTATTTAATTTAAATGTAATGGAAGTTACAAAGTAAAAGAAGCGATATCTTCTTGATTAAATGGGAAAATATGAGTGTAGTATGGACTAACTTTACCCTAATAGGCAAGGTAGACTACTATTTTGATAGTCTTTTGAGATTCACAAATGATTGTCTCTTTTGCTTCGAACCTATCGAATACTGGAGTACTTATAATGCTCTATCGAATTCAAATGATAATTGAATAAATAAACCTACATCTATAAGTGTCGCTGCCATTAGTGAGAGAGGATCTTAAGGAAGCTGTCTCAAAACTGCATTCAAACCTTTATTCAGCACACTCTCAATCTATGTATATAAATGATGTTATATTAGGATTTTACGTTATGTCTAGTCATGTAGGACTTAATTTCATCTGGAACCAGGGGGTGATCAACCATTTTATATTATTCTAAATTAATTTAAATAAATCAAATGACACAAATAACTACACAAAGGGGTTTTGGGGTTTTGGGGTTTTGGGG